AGTTTTCGATAACTTTTTTCAAAGTGTCAAAGTTTTTGATAAATTTTTTCAAAGTGTCAAAGTTTTTGATAAAGTTATTCAAAGTGTCAAAGTTTTCACCAAAGTTTTTCAAAGTGTCAAAGTTTTCGCCAAAGATTTTCAAAGTGTCAAAGTTTTTGTCAAAGTTTTTCAAAGTGTCAAAGTTTTTAAAAAAAAGTTTTTCAAAGTGTCAAAGTTTTCGTCAAAGTTTTTCAAAGTGTCAAAGTTTTCAAAAAAAGTTTTTCAAAGTGTCAAAGTTTTCAAAAAAAGTTTTTCAAAGTGTCAAAGTTTTCACCAAAGTTTTTCAAAGTGTCAAAGTTTTCGTCAAAGTTTTTCAAAGTATCAAAGTTTTTGTCAAAGTTTTTCAAAGTGTCAAAGTTTTCAATAACTTTTTTCAAAGTGTCAAAGTTTTCGATAAAGTTTTTCAAAGTGTCAAAGTTTTCGCCAAAGTTTTTCAAAGTGTCAAAGTTTTCATTAAAGATTTTCAAAGTGTCAAATTTTTCGATAAAGTTTTTCAAAGTATCAATGTTTTTAATAAAGTTTTTTAAAGTATCAAAGTTTTCGATAAAGTTTTTCAAAGTATTAAAGTTTTTCGATAAAGTTTTTCAGAGTATCAAAGTTTTCCATAAATTTTTTTCAAAGTGTCAAAGTTTTCGAAAACTTTTTTCAAAGTGACAAAGTTTTCGAAAATTTTTTTTCAAAGTGTCAAAGTTTTTGCCAAAGTTTTTCAAAGTGTCAAAGTTTTCGCCAAAGTTTTTCAAAGTGTCAAAGTTTTCGCCAAAGTTTTTCAAAGTGTCAAAGTTTTCGTCAAAGTTATTCAAAGTGTCAAAGTATTTGCCAAAGTTTTTCAAAGTGTTAAAGTTTTCGATAAAGTTTTTCAAAGTGTCAAAGTTTTCGTCAAAGTTTTTCAAAGTGTCATATTTTTCAAAAAAAAAAATTTTTCAAAGTGTCACAGTTTTTGATAAAGGTTTTCAAAGTGTCAAAGTTTTCGCCAAAGTTTTTCAAAGTGTCAAATTTTTCAAAAAAAAAGTTTTTCAAAGTGTCAAAGTTTTCGTCAAAGTTTTTCAAAGTGTCAAAGTTTTCGTCAAAGTTTATCAAAGTGTCAAAGTTTTTGCGTAAGTTTTTCAAAGTGTCAAAGTTTTCGATAAAGTTTTTCAAAGTATCAAAGTTTTTGTCAAAGTTTTTCAAAGTGTTAAAGTTTTTGTCAAAGTTTTTCAAAGTGTCAAAGTTTTCGATAATTTTTTTCAAAGTGTCAAAGTTTTCGATAAAGTTTTTCAAAGTATCAAAGTTTTCGATAAAGTTTTTCAAAGTGTCAAAGTTATCACTGTAGTAAATCAAAGTTTTCAAAGTGTCAAAGTTATAACTATAGTTAACTATAGTATTTTTTGGTTAGGGAAGCAACAAACAATCAACAATTTCATCTTTACAAGTTAAAGAAATTCAAATCAATCACTTACCTTGATTTTTACTGATCGTAATATTATTTCTCTCTATTTTGCTACTGTGCTCACTGACTAGCGTACATTTAACATTATGGCGACATAATTATTTATATTATTATTTTATTATTATGGTATTTTATTGATTTACAAAGAAATATAATTGAGAAAAGGCTAAATTATAAAAGTGTAAATGTTCGAATTCTTATACATTTCTTAAGATCTGTTCTTCCATAACTTACCAAGTACAATCTCTCTCACAAACACTCGAATATTTCTTTTTTCCATATTAACTCTCAATTGTAAATTTTTGTTATCTTTTGTATGATATTTGATATTTTAAGAGGTATTTTGAAATATACATGAAGTAAAGTAGATTGAGAGGAAATAGTATGAAAATGGCCAAATACTCTTGGATGTATCTGATGTACTTTTATGTAAAAGTTGTACAAGGCAATACATTATATAAACAAACACATATACGAGATATACGTATATGTGTTTGTTTATATAATGTATTGACTTGTACAGCTGTAATTGTAAGTTCCTTTGGTATCTTACTTTCTTGCATTAGACGAAGATATAGATTATTATGGTCGCTACCGAGTGCTGTATTGCATACTCCGTCTACACCGGTGTCTACTGATTACACTGAACAGTAACTAAGTCCTGTCCTTTATATGAGGTCTGCAGATATAGCAAGATTCCGAACAAAAAATGGCGGACACATTCCTTTTACGAATCGTGTTCAACTTTAATTTACGAAATGACTTTTTCATCGTCAACTTTCCTATTTATTTAGTAATATTTTACTATCATCTTTTATGGTATTTATGTCTTCCAACTCCGTTACGTAAGAGCTAGGCTCCTGGTACGAACAATTTCTTAAGCAAGGTATGCTTCTCACAGATAAATTGTATACATTGTAAATAAATAATATTCAAAAAACGATGTTGCATGAACTTAATTTACCCGAGAAACCTGAAAAAAAATGAGAAATACACCTTGAATCCATTTAAGTTTTGAGATATCACTTTACGGAAAAAGAAATTGAATTGCTTGATACATGCATATTACGACATTTAGAAACTCATTACTTAATGTTTTGCCAACATGGGTATTTTTGCAAAAACGAATATAAAAATTGAGTTTTAAATCAGGGAAATGTAATATTACAACTTTCATTACAGGGATATTTTATCCTTCAACCAATATTTAGGAGGAAAACTATTAGAAGGGTTGTCACATTCAATTAATATTAATGAAAACAAGTTAAATAATATAGAAATATACATCAAATGTTTATAAGTGTGCAAAAGAGTTTATAATATTACTTAATACATAAGAAATACACCCCCGGTAATTATTTAGGATTATTTAGAAAGGAAAAAATATACTTACTTGGACTTTTACTCGTAATATGGCTTTCATGTCTGTTTCTGGGATCACTGGCTACAAACATGCAAATCAGACAACATAATATCAACAGTATGGTGACATGAATATTTTTTATTACCGAGATCTCGCTAGGATGTATATGTTTGAGAAAGGCATATAACTTAGGCTTAGAAAAAATAATACAGAACAAAAATGCTTTTATTCTCATACATGTCTTAATATTTTTCTTTCCCTTCTAGTAAAGCAAAATTTGCATAATTTATTTATATTTTTCAAAAGGTGAACTGTAAAATCGCATATTTTCGAGGAGTCAAATTTTTGAGGTTTAAGAAAGAAAAACCATGGTTTATAAGGATTTTATTTCGAGTTTTAGAAGTTTAACATTTCCAGGAGGTAATGAATTCGAGGGTCCCTCCATACCTCGAAACCAACAAAAATTAAAGCCCACGAAATTTATTGATATCACAGTATTTGTGATAAGATAGTTGAAGAAGGATATTGAACAAAATTCAAGATTGTTTTAAGATTGAGAAAGATCTCAAAATTTTTAAGACACAAGCCAATCAAAAGAAAAATACAAAAAAAAATTACATATGACAGCGTTAGTTTTCCTTAAACTTTAATTACGAAATCATATATCAAACATCTTAATAACCTAATAACCAAAAAAAAAATTCTGGTTAAAAGGTCAAGTTTATAATTAGGAGCTTGTATAAAATGGTTCCAGTGAATAACTATAATTTTCTGTACGTTTTTGCAATTAAATTTTTTCCTAGTCAATATGAGTTGATTGAAACGTTACCTTTAATGGTTTTGAAGTCAAATGATCAACAACTAAGGTTACAGATTCATAATTGTGTTCGAATTTTCAGATAACTTCTCTGTTCGTTTTTGAAATGAAATCTAAGGCCAAATGTCTATTAAACCTTCTTTTTTCATCTTACTGTGGATACAAATTCTCTTCTTTTTTCATCTTACTGTGGATACAAATTCTCTTAATAAGCTTGTTTTCAACTGACCTTTTATATGAACACTGTGTTAATTGCTTACGTACCATTCCATGTACATTTGACATTAATGTCAACACATCCTGCGTACGGATCGCACCTTTCTGTTTCTTTACAATTACATTTTTCTCTACATGATGCTCCATAAAATCCATCTGGACACTCTTCAGAACAATTTTTTCCGTAGAATCCAACACATTCTGTAACAATCAATGTAATAGCAAATTTAGCTAGAGGGGATGAAATGTAAAAGGAGTTAAAGCTGATGTTTTATTTTTCAAAAGGTTGGGAAAGAAAATTTCTGGTAACTTACTAGTACATCTATTTTCAATTTTTATGTAACCAGAACAACAAGTTGCAGACTGGCTGAAAAATGTAAAAAGGTTTGTATAAAAACAGTTATTAGTGAAATGCGAGGAAGGAATGCATTATCAGCAAATAAATATGATGAAATAGAAAACAAGAATTTGGGTAACATTTTTTAAAATTTTATGCAAAAATCATTGTTAGTCTTTTTTCTAAAGAGCCCTATTTTAAAACATTAAAGTAACTATTTCTTGTTCCAAAGAACAGGAGGATTGCTCCTAAATACACAGATATGAATGCAAATTAAAAATCTTTAGAGTAAGAGAACTTACCTTTGATCTGAGGGTTTACACTTATCTTTGTCACCTAAAACCATTGCCACATTCAAGACTAGAATTATCGAGCAAGACAGGAGATGGTTCATTATAACGTTTCTACATCTCAGTAAAAATCGAAATATTGATTATATTTTCCTTCTATTAGAAAAGAGGAAATTATTCTAATATAGATTTTATAATTTATACAGCTCAGAAACATTCAGAATTATACATATACTTGAAGTGATTTTAATGTAATATATGTTTGTATGTATCCTGTGACAGGCACCATTGTGGGCAATAGCGGATTTCTGATATCCGGATTGTGGATCTTTCTAAACTCTGTATTAAGGAAAGTATCGGTGCCAGTTACATTTAGAAAATCAAAATATTAGGAATCACTAAGTAAGAGACTTGACATTCATCAGAATTACCTTACAGCTAAACTGTCTGACAATTGAGACGACTTTATCTTTTGTATCGTCAACTTTCCTTATTTATATTGTACTACTGTA